TCTGCAACCGGAGCGTCCCACAAAAAACGTGGACGACCGCGCAAAATCTGGACTATGCGACGCTCGTGGTGCGATTTTTGCAAAAGTTAATTGTTCACCCAGTCAGCAATTCCATTGCAATTGAACGACTCTTTACATATTTTTTTTTTATTTTTTACATTTTTTATATATTTTTTTTTAATTAATTAATTATTGTATGCCATATAAATTGCGCTACGTAAAAAAACCGATTTATTGCGCTCTTTTAACTTTCGCATTTATTTATTTTCTGCAGCTTCTTTTAACAAGAAAAATAAAAAAGTGGAATTTTTAAATATAACGGGAGGAAAAATTATGCTTTTCGTATGTTATACGATGCACGTGGAACTTCATACTGATGTATGTGAAAGCGACGCAACTTTCAACGGGGGCAACACGTGTGCGTGCTCGAGAAGATACTCGGAGAGGCATTATACCGTACGTACGATGCACCAGACACCCTTACAGGCGATAATAGTGACATAACAAAACGAAGGCGTGATAATAATGATTCAGCATACGAGATACCGTTCGTGCCTTTCTTTTGCACGAGTCATCTGCGCACAATCAGGTCGTTGTCGAAGGCACCCTATCATTAATAATCAATAACAATTCTCATTAATTCACATGATTTTTATCGATCAGTACGGAAGTTGACTCGATGCGACTTGCATTTTATTAAATAAAAATACACTATCTGTGTTGAACTAAAAATGTCTATTTATCTTTATAAATATTGATATTCAGAGAATTTTGAGAGATATTCCATTTAAACGCGAATTTTCTCGGACGAAACTTTCCTGTTGACAATGATAGAAACGATACAACGATTGCAGTTATTAAATATTGCGTAGTTTCGAATGATTCAATTTGGTGGATGTACAAAATAAAAAAAATAGAATTATGCGCGCTTCGTGACCCGAATTTATCATTCACGAAAATACAAGCGGCATATTTTATGATATTTGCATACGTGGCATTTTTCCAACATTATGGCACACTTTTGAAATGTCAACCACACACGATTATTTCAATGTCACGCAATCCAGTCCGAGTTATTATTTTTTTCAAAAACGATCTTATTTAATAAGCGCTACTTAGAAATTTATTTGCGTTAGAATGACATACAATTGGAAGAATTTTAATTATTTCTAACAATACGTGAACATTACGTGAAACAAACGATTAATTTTTTTAATATAAATATTTAATAATTTTATAAAATATATAAATATATGTAAAAAATTTAATGTAGCCGCGTCGCGCGTCTCTTCAGCGATTAATTACTCACTTGTAAAATCTTATCCTCCGATAAATCCGATTAATTAGCATATTTTTAGACATTTTAATTGCTGCCAAGACCTCATCACGTGAATCGACGATTGTGTCAGGATATTTTTGTCCATCTCCCGATGATCCGCCGGCAAATGCTATGGGTTTTGTGCGAGGAAGAGCGTAATCGATTAATCGTTCACGCTCAACGGCGCCTTCGAGATCGCTCGCGATCCGGCCGGCGGAGCAACATTCCACGATCCAGAGCGACCGTACCCATTCCGATCGAGTTTGAAGCGAAGGAAAGGGCTCGCCGAGGAAACGTACAGCGCGTTTCGTACGCGTGAGCTGGCGAGCAACGACGACTCTTCTACTTCACCTGTTTCGGTAACGGCGCCGAAAATCGGACTTTAACTCGGAACCTTGGTGCGACCTTCTCCTCGATCTACCGACCTGATCGGTCGTTTCCTGGGCCGGCCTGGCGGCATTCCTCGGCCCACGCCTCCTTATTCTCCTTCGTCACCTTCATGATTTCTTCCTCTTCCTTCCTTCTTCCTCCGACATGGTCGGCCTAGTGTTTGCTAGCTTCCAAATTGGCTCCATTATGTCGACCAATGTGTTAAGATAACATGTACTAAATGCTGAAGACGCAACATGTTGCGTAACTAACAAACAAAAGAAGAATTACCAAAGATTATGAATTTTTTTTATAGTGTGATTGGATATCAATCTGAAGTCACTCATAGTCTTTCAGTTTAATCTGATAGTTGATGGAAAACACGTGGTGTTTGATACACCCTGTATGTCGCGTTTAAGAAACAAGCACATGATTCTATATGCATATTGCGGAACTATCCAAGAATATATCACTTCCATAAGCATTTGCATTAAAATCTATGCAAAGTAGTTTGGAGAACCGCTAAACCTAACGTTCTCTCTCTTGCGCAGTGTGCATAACTCTCCGTGAATATCCAATAAATTAAAGCACTGCAGAGTCAATAATTTTCAGAAAACGATGGTTTATTATAATGTCCAATAATTTAAATCATTTAGCCAAGCGATTAGCTAAGAAACGGTAGTTTCCTAAATTAATAAACGAGATTCTTGACAAATACAAATTTTGAAAAATTAATTTCAATATTTGTTAATAACAATAAATATTGATTTGATTGTTACTAAAGAATATGATAGAATTTGCCCTATATTTCTCTTTTTCCCTCTCTCATAATTATGCAGTTAACTTTCATCTTGAAATCAATATATCGACAATTTTTCAATTTAGATAGTCTCAATTACATATTTAACTCTTCTTCTGATTTACGCAATGATATCTGATTCGCTTCTCTCGCGCTCTCGTCGAGTGCAGCACAGGAAGGCGAGATCAAGAACCGAGAAAACAACGGAGCTTCAACATTTTTTTTCTCCTCTGTACAACGAGATATCTCACAATCCGCGGAACGGGGGATCTCGCGTCGCTAGATTTCATTCTCATCGACTTTCACCGGGGATTTCGGTTTTCAGCAAGGACGTTTCTTGACGCACTCATCGTCCACGCTCTCATATATTCACGGACGACTATTGTCTCTTTACTAAACACAACCGCCTGCTTCCTTTCCGATTCATTTCCATGTGATCCCGCACGTCGCATTGTTCGTATGTTTTTTTTTTTTTTTTTCTAATGAAGAGCGACCTAACGCACTTGTGAATCTTAAGAGTCGAAACGTACTCGAAACAAGAATCTTGATGGATATATTCTGGTTTGCTTCACCCGCTCCACTTTACGAATCGAATTTGCGCATCTCGATATTTTGTACGATTCGCAAATTCGAATTAAATTCCTTTCTCTATAAATTAAAGAACCTTCTTTCTCATCCGATTAATTAAGCTCGGATGAATCGCGATAGCTCGTTCGGATGTCTTCTCTTCTTATTTTCTTCGGTATATGTAATTTTTCTCGGAAGTGAAATTTTCATGCCTTGTAATTCACGCTGTTCAGGGCTCAACAAGCGGTGCCGATGTTGTTTAGCCGTAAAACTCCATCAGGCTGTTCCGTAACCGTTGATGATTAAAACCGGCGAATGCATGCTGCATTTGCATACGAACGAGCCTCGCCGAGCCGTGGCATCTAATTGTTAGTCCGCTTGACCTAATCGAGAATTGCCGCACGCGCAGCATCGTATGCAGACGCGATTTTCATTCTCCTAGCTGTTATGTGCCGTCTTGCAATAAAATCACGTTCACGCTACACGAGGGACTCGAGATGATTCCGACAGAGTATCTTCTCAATGCCAATTTCATTCAATGAGATTCTCCTCGAAAAATAGGAAAAATTGCCCGTAATAAATATTTAATTGTCAGCAGCAATTTAGATCGTTCTTATAATTATTTCGTCATAATTGTAAATTATTACAATCTGTCTGGAAGACAGAGATGTGATTTCTATCGGACGAATTTCTATCGGTAGATTAAAAAAATTTATTTTAAAATGTTTGCGCGAAAATATCTTATACGTTGTGAAAGCGGAATATAAAAAAAATCACAAGATACGTAAACATATCGCGCTATGTCAACATGTACGAATGTTGTCGTCGAAGCAGATTTGTGATGGCTTCGCAAATTGGGCCAATCGATGATCCAAACCAAAGCGTAATCCAATAACTATCATGCTCGCTCCAGCAAATATTCAACATTCCTACATAAGCTGCACACGTCCGTTGCAGCTTGTGAATTCCTTGTTGATAACTGTCGAGGAATTTGCAACTTCTTAGCGTATAAAACAAATTTAAAAAAGCTAGATGTTGTATCTAGCGATGTAAAAATATGGAAAATAAAAAATGAAGAAGATTTTTATTCATCTTGAAATATCTTCCAATATTACGAATAATTAATATTTTTAATTAAAAATACCGTTTAATTATTCTAACCTCTGTCAAATAGATATTTAAATTAAAATTGGAATCTGCCTAGAGAATTGTATACATTTGTAGTAATTGTGTGTTTCTGACATAATACAAATATTATAAACTAAATTATACTCATGGCTCGAACGACATGAATAGATATTACGTATTAAATAATATTATAACCGATAAAATTACATATACTTTTTTTTCTTCCAATTGGATTTTCTTATAATTCCTTAATGATGCATTTATCTTCAGATAATTTTATCCTAAAAATTTTAGTCTTTCTTTTATTAAGTCTATTATATTCCTCATCAAATAAGCTTCATCAAATGAGCTATAATAATGTTTATCAGTCTAATGATAGCTTCATATGGAAAAGTAATGACCATAATTTGCGAGAGAGAACATATTTTACCTCGAATGTGGAATCGAAAGCTATTAACGTGATAATATAAAAGAGCCTAGTCTCTGATATAAATCAAGTTTCATTTATATATGATTTCACCGAGTATCCAAAAATTTAATTAGATATAGATTGAAGAAAATTTTTGTTGGATCATTAAAATAATAAAGTAGAATGCCTAAATATGATGATATAATACTGCAAAACTTATTGATATTCTAGCAACTAATTGCTTCTACGTAATTATTTTGATGTTCCAACAAAATTATTTTCTAGTCAAATTTTTATTTTAGCGAAATTGTTCTTTTCATAACATCATAGAATTTTACATAACATCTGACAATAAAATTTTTCCCCAGTTTACCAGATAATCTCTCTGACCACTTTTTTTTTATTTTCAGGTGAAAGGAATTTTTCAACTTTAGGCTAAGATGTCACATCACAGCGACGACAACATGCTAATAGCAACATCGGACTCCTTCTGGGAGCCAGGCAACTATAAGCGAACGACAAGGAGGATCGAGGATGGACATAAGTTGTGCGATAGTCTGATAGCTTTGGTCCAGGAAAGGGCGGAAATAGAGAAAAACTATGCTAAGGCGCTTAAAAACTGGTCGAAGAATTGGAACGACAAGATTGAGAAGGGACCTGAGTACGGCACGACTGAAGCGGCATGGAAGGGCGTCCTAGTGGAATCTGACAGGCTCTGCGATCTTCATCTCAGGATCAAAGAAAATCTCTGCAACGACATCGTCCAGCAAGTCAAAACGTGGCAGAAAGATACGTATCACAAGGTAAAAGAGTGGTCGCGCAATATCAGTGGGTTCTTTAAACTGTAAATTCTCAGTCATGTCACGAAATTTCTATTTTCTTCCTGAAAGGACAGACGATAAGATCATTAAATTGTTCCCTAAATTTTTCTTAAAGGATGACACACGCACATACACACACATACAAATAAGCGACGCGATAAAACTCGATTGAAATTTCGGTACCTCCTCCTCGTACAAAATATAACAGGTAGTCAAATATTATAATGTCGAGACTTTCCATCGGTTCCCGATTCTTATCGGGATAATTCATTTTTAACGATTAATTAATTTTTTAATGCAAGTAAAATTTAGCCTTTTTATTTTTCACTGTATAATTTCTTTATAAATTTGTAGCGCGTTTTAGTATTAAATTTTCAATTTAACAACATGATATATTTCTCTGATATGAAAACTGTTTCAAGATTTGATTAATAGTCGGCGGGTTATAAAAAGCGTAAGGATGAAATACAAAAAAATTGAAAAAAAAATTAATTTTGTCATGCATATATCAATCACTGTCTACTTATTAAAATAGCTTTTCGCTGTCTGCTAGCTAATGACTTCCTTTACACGAGATTTTGTAATAGTGGCTGATGTCGCACGGGTTTGGTTCCGTGATTGCAGTCGATGATGACCCTGAAGGAGCGTAAAGAAATGGAAGATGCGTTCAAGAAGGCGCAGAAGCCATGGGCGAAACTCTTACAGAAGGTCGAGAAGGCGAAGTCCGAGTACCACAACAGCTGTAAGACCGAGCGAACCGCGGCGAACATGGAGAGGAACGCCTCGGCGGACAGTTCTCTCTCGCCGGATCAGGTGTGTGTCGTTACCTTCCTATTGTGTCTCGCGTATCTCGCGCACACACATTACGTCACTTGTCACTTGTAACGTGTTATTAACGACCGGCGCAATGTATCGGATCACGTATTACCATAGAAATCACTTCGTCATCACGTGCGCCTTTAAAAGGCTGGCGGATTGCGATTGAGCCGCATCGCGGATAGGAATCTCGCATGAATCTTCTACGAACTTCTCCCTAATGAAATAACATACCTGCGGGATCCCTGCTGATTACAGTTTAAAATTTTTAGATCGCTTTCTATTAAACATTTTTACCTATCATTCATAACCACGCTGGAGTATAGAGAAAGTTAGAAAATACAGTAAATAAAGTAATGACTGATAATGACGAGTCAAATTGCTATTCCACAGATAAATGAATACACGCGTTTTACTTATTATTTTAATTAACGACGCGTGGTTTTATCCGATCTCGAAATCCACAAAGTGTAACTCGATCTCACGAATTAGGATTCTTTTTTTTTTTTTTTTTTTTTATCGGTGTCTTTATGTCGAAACAAGCCGGGGATTATAGACGCACGCAACGTACATATTAACATAATGTGCGCATATCGTATAAAATTAGCCGCGCGTCACGATCACGCACACGCGCGGCTCTACGGCAGATACAGTTGTTCTCTAGCGAGTATTATTTGCAGATGGCCCGAGGCTCTGAAAACGTACGTTATATTCTTGAAAAATTCTTGCATGCGCTGTTACGCTCTTCTTGCTTGACGTTTTCGCGGCGAGCTAACGATTCGCGACTCTCGTTCGCTTCTGGAGACGCGGAGAGCCCCTCTTGCACGTCTCTGTATGTTTCTTGCCCAGCGTCTCTTATTCGGAACGGAAAGGATAGCTAGTAACTAACGCCACTAGACACGATCCGACGTGCGCACGTATGTCCATTCCGCTTCTTGTACGGTAGTAATTATACGAATGATATACTAAAGTGACGGAACGTGAGCCTTGTAAACGCGAAGAAAAAAAAAACCTACTATTGCAGCTTTCCATCGCTGAGTTTCGCTGCCTCCGCTATTGTGTCTAATTGCTGTTAGAAGCGAGGAGAGAAAGATTGGAGAGATTCGAGCGATCACGAGAGAGGAAGGAAATTAAAAAAAAAAAATTCCGCGTTTCGTATTTCTCTGTAATTCCAAGAAAATCGACGGCGTAAATCGTGATCGTTGGCAGAAATTTACGGAGCACGCGGCTCAATAATCTCGGCACAATAATGATCTCGATATCGGAGACGGGCATCTCTGAAAGTTGGCTAACGACGTTTTTAGATGACAGATTGTGGATGTGGTGCATGGAGGCTCAGAATACCAAAAAACCTTAGGAATAATAAAATAGGCGACGTTCAGTTTGTATGTATATGACATTGATGCATGTCGCATGTTTCTTAATTTATATGTCTTTCGTTCTTTTTCTTTTCTCTTGTTACAGAAGGCTCTGTTGGTAAGCAAAATTCTGACTTAAGCCTTTTCGATTGTCGCACGAGATGTAATCCGCTCGGGTCTGATCAGTCGAATGGATCGAAATCGGAATGAAAACGCTGATGTCAATCCATCGTCCTTTATCTCAAACGCGGCACGCCTCTGGCTTCTTAACACACCGGACGTACCCGCTGCTTAATAATTATTTAGAATATATTTAAATGGCTGCTACGTAGAAAAGTAGTGTCTGTACTCGCCGCTCGATTAAGCCTTGTTCGTAATTACAAGAACTCACAGTTCGACGTGTATTATCGTAATTTAGCGAAGTCAAAACCGGTATACGAACGCGAGAGAGAATGCAACGCACGTGCGTGAAATATGGATAATTCATGAGCGGATATACATAAATCTCTTTACGCTAAATTCTTAGAGCACTCGCGGCGCAACGTTCGACGTTCGTTTCTTCCTTTTTTTCCCGGTAAAAACGAATAATGACATAAATTTCATCCGTACGACCTCAATCTTGTTTTCGCCGTAGAGCGAGTCGGAAAGCAAGCGCTGTAATTATAGAATTATGTAAAGTGGCGAGATTACCGTGTTATCAGGACCAATTCAAGTACTATGAAAATCGTATAAATTCCATTGTAGTAAAGTCTCTCCAATAAAAGATCCGAGGCTCTTGCAAATTCTTTAGGTTTTCACGTTCAATATTCGTAAAATTTTTTATATCGTAATATTTTTTATATCTTAATAAGAAGAATATTTCAAAACCGCTGTAGATATCACCAGACTTCAGTTCTAATAAAGATACTTTGGAAATGCAAGCTAGATCGCTATTGCGATGGCCGTTATTTTGTATATTATTTACGTGTAGTTGCATGACGAAGCAAACGTTAAGTAGATTAAACAATACGTAGTGTAGCAAATAGCCAGATAAATTATGTACTTTTTCGCACATTTTGACGTACGAAAATTGTCATATATTTCTTGTCCCCTTTCTCAATGTGGCATCCATGCTTAACGTTGCGAAAAAGCGCGGTCAGCTTTTTGGCGATGAGCTGGATGAGGTTGAAGGTAAAGAATTGGGATCGCCTATTGAAGTATCTCTTCGATCAACATCTATTCAGAGATTTTGCGAATTAATAGAAATAAATTAGCTATTAAAAATTATAAATTACACTTAGAAAATCACGTGAAATAATTTTAGAATATACTATTATTCTCATCATATACCGTTTTTTTAAGGTTCTTAAACTCTTAGATTATATGTCGTTGGTGCTGGCCAAGGTCTTTACCTTCAACTCGACATTGAAGAGGAACGCTCTCGGTACGATTTCTAAGTATTTTCTTGTCTCGTTCGACAGGTGAAGAAGATGCAGGACCGTGTGCAGAAAACGAAAGAGGAGGTGCAAAAGGCGAAGGAGAAGTACGAGGCGGCACTTCAGGAAATCAATCAGTACAATCCAAAGTACATGGAAGACATGACGCAAGTGTTCGAGAAGTGTCAGGAGATGGAGGCGCAGCGACTGCAGTTCTTCAAAGACGTCCTCTTCGGCATTCACAAGTGTCTGAACGTATCGCAGGATCCAGTGTAAGTCCCTTTCTTGTTGTCGCGCGGCCGCGTTGTGCAACGTTGCGTAATCGGAAATTTCGAAGACGCGCTCTCCGCAAAAATCGATGCGTCGCCGCGCGCATGAACGGGAACGTGTGATCCCGCGTCTGTAATCAACGTGATTACAGACTTTCATTTTCATCGCTTAATTAATTTTCCCGATTCGATTCGCTTCGACGGTCGATGGTCCGGAGATCAAATAAAGCTGGAATTGGAAATCGCGTCTCCCCCTGCGTCTATCCCACGTTTGATGAATATGAAACTTTCACGTGTCATTACTAGTCGTCGCTGTAAATTGTGTTTTACCGTTTCCAGGCTTCCGCAGATATACGAGGAGTTTTATCACACGATAAATAATGCCGACCACGAGAAAGATCTCAAATGGTGGTCGAACAACCACGGCGTCAATATGGCTATGAATTGGCCGCAGTTCGAAGTAAGTCGCTTAACGCTTGTCGCCTAACGCGCTACGAAACGCTCTACTGTCGCATGTAAAAGCCCTGCTCGTGGTTGAAGATCTGTTGTTAGACAACAAATTAGCTGTAGCGTGGACTGAATATTACTCTCTATAGCTCCCTCCCCCTTTTTTTACAATAATTTTACTGTTACTCATTGGACGTAACGTACCCTTTTTTCATTCCTAGCATTCGATTCGATGTAGTACAATGATATTCGTTGATTTTTCGAGAATGTTAAAAGAATGAGAGATAGAGATATCTAGAGAGGAGATGCAGCTCCATTGAAATAGACATAAATTGCGTCCAAATAAATTGCGCCAAATAACGAGCAAAATGTTGGTCCTTGCGAAAATAGATGATGATGAGAATTATGTCTTGCCGTGCTAAAATAACGAGTTGAAATCTCTAAAACACCGGGAATACTCTTAACCAACGTTTTTAACCCTCACACTCGTCGTTATCGTCGTTAATCTCCTCCGTAGTTATATGAAATAAGAATTTACGCTTTCCTCTGTATATTCGCCTCTGAGAAAGTATCTTGCTTACAACAATGTTTTGCCTTCTACAGTTTTCAAAGCTTTTTAACCCGTAATCTCATATGTATATCATACGAAAAGCGCGATATATTTTCCGATGTTTTATTTCCCCGAAAAAGAATGGCTTTAAAATTCATGCGGTCGTTGTATGTAATATAACGTTTCATCGATCGTCCTCTTATACTGATTACGGGTTGCAATGTTACCGATCCTCTTTATCAAGTTCTCCTTTTTAACCAACTTGCGCGGAAATTGCGGGAAACCTTACGCAAAAGCAATTGTGTTTTGTTATTGCAATATTTGTTCGTTCAAATGATGTTACGTCCCGTATGGAACACATTGTCAAGGGTTAAATTCGTTGCGAGAGTAACGCCCAGCCTTACGCCACGTCACCTCTCTCGCCTGGTCTCTCTTTTCTTTTCAATCCAAAAGTACTCAAGATAAATATATCAAAAGAAATGTCTCCCGAAATGTCTTAGTATTTGAAAAGGCGGTAAAGCAAGAAAGAGACAAAGAGAGAGAGAGGGGGATAAAACCCCTGACAAATTTTCGGAATGCATGCATGTGATTGTTTTTGGGACGTTGCTATTATGCAGGACTATACAGAGGAGTTCCGCGAGATCACGAAGGGCTCGAAGTCGAAGGAGGCGCTCCCGGCAGGCTCCATCACTCTCATCAATCAACGCCCGGTCGGCGAGGATCTGCATGTAAAGTTTTGTTTACACGTTACACGCGCACACACACACACACACACACACACACATACACACACAGCGCGCCATCCGCAATCTCACTTTAACCGTTTTCAACACATAATGTCGCGCATCCAAGACCCGCCCGCCTTACCAAATCCCGACTACGCCGACGAGTCGTCTCGATCGGATCGACCGATCGAGAGAAAGAGGCAGAAAGAGAAAAAAGATCGCCGGCACCGGTCAGGCTGGCACGCGACAGCTTTTAACGGATATATGTCCCAGCTGGCCGCGAGGCCATCCAGGGATGGGTTTCCTTTCTCAGCTTCTAACTCTTAGCTGTCTTAACCGAATTAACTGTAATCCGCTCCGCTCTTGCGCTCGCACGTAATCGCACAGATCTGTGCCTAAAGGTGAACACGGACAGCCTCCTGCGGCAGGTACAGCAGGAACGAATTTACAAACTGGAGAGGCAATGTGACAGAAACGCGAAGAGTAAACAAGAAGGAAAAGATCACAAAAGGAGATTGCACTCATGATTTATCTGATATTATCATGAAACGAAAGATTGCATAGAGATCGATATTGTCTAATGAAAATGACCATATCTTACATATAATTGCTCTTGGCTAGGTTTAAAATTCGCGCTTCAGGAAAGCTCTTCAAGCCTCAAAAGTCTGTAAATCATTTCCCTCCAAGTTGCTTATTACTCTGCTCATGGTATACGGTATGGATAATTATTATTAAGAAATATTTATATATGTATATAAAAAGTATAACTTAAATCATACATGCCTGCAACCGATTGTTAAATCATGTGCATGTTTACATTTCAAAATTACGAAAGTCATATCGTGGAAAATCAAATGATGGAACTAATATGGAATTAATGCGAAAGGAAGAGAAATATCAGATTGTACCAAAACTGTCGTACTTTCTTTCAGCTGGGAACTTCTTAACTTTGTATATTGTAAACTCTCATTTAAGAATATCTCGATCAATACATTATAATTCTGTTAAAAATTAAACATTTGCGTTTTGAAGACAAGTTTTGAAGAAAACGCGACGGTTGCGATTGTATCTTAATTTCTTGCATGATGTACCATAAAATTATTATATAAACATCAGCTAATTATTATTCTCGCACAAACATCTCATTTAAAATATTGTGAATAACGCAATAACAGTAATGACATTTGCGATACAGAATTAAAATGGCACTTACTTTAACAATTCATAACCAATCTGTTTATCAAGAAATCATACATCAATTGTCACAATCGTTTATTTAAAGAAGTGTAATCTCGAGTCTGACTGTGCTTTGTAAATACGCATTCTTTTTAAATTGGCACATTTATCCTAAAGGATGAAAAATTCGGATGAACACTATCTTCTTCATGAAAAAAAATGTCAACTTCTTGCATTGTCAAGCCTTCTCGCAAAATGTAAGGCTGACAATAATGATACACGCATAAAAATGAGCTTCAACAAAATCGCACATGGCATGGTCATTCGAAGCGCAAAATATTCAGAGCGGACGTCGCGTATTGTTATACACTTGGTTGCACGCATGGCATTTTCGTCATCAAAATTTATGCATTTACAGTATGCACTCACACAGATTTCATCGAGACGTATCTAACACTCTCGTTCTCTCCCATTTAAATAGGAATTTCCACCAGTCAATAACAAATCAAAATCTAAGTCCGCTGGCCGAGTAATATCGGTGGAGGGCAATCACGGAGATAGCAAAACGGATACCATAAGTTCCGGCAAACAGTCCTCGGAAAAGAATAACGAGACTGACAGCGTTAACAGGACTTCAACTATCACGTAAGTCCACCAGTCAGTCCACAGTTCTCTGTGTTCTCATAGCAAAAAAAAATAAATTAATATTTTTACTAATATGCATATATGATAATTGTAGTAACGGTACTAACGCCAAGCAAGAGTCGAACCCGTTCGAAGAAGAGGAATGGGACGAAGACGGTGGTGAACCGCTGGTCGACAATGGAGAACCAGGGGTTCCCGTGCGAGCATTGTACGATTACGAGGGAGCCGAAGCAGACGAGCTCAGTTTCAAGCAAGGTAGAGTATGAAAAATATTTTCCACAAAATCGTGAATTCACTCGATTTGATTTGAACGACTCCATGATTAAGAAGTTACATAAGTATTCAAATTATATTATTTATGCAATTAACATAACTCGAGCGATTTGACAGTCGATTAATATTGATTCGAATTCCATTGATTTTTTTTCTTCTAGGAGATGTATTTGAAAAACTGGAAGATGAAGATGAGCAAGGATGGTGTAAAGGAAGGAAGGACGGAAGAGTGGGCCTCTATCCGGCGAATTATGTAGGCTTGGTGTCGCAATAGATTACTAATGCAAAGCCAAATCCAGAAGTTAGTTACTTAAATAATATGTAATCTCCGTGAGGAACAAAATTGTGCATTTCGTTTCTCTTCGCTGTCATTTACGCGAGTGGAGGATTTGCGGAACCAGTTTCGCGACGCGCTTTCAGGACGCGGCTTAAGATGAATGAATTTGAAAGAAGAAACGGGTTGCAACAAGTTTCTGAAATCCGATACCTCTAAGGCATAAACTGCATTTATGAATTGTATAAATGGCGATTCCCTTTCCGAGATCTTTCCTTCGCGACTGATTTAAATGAATGATTTCCTACACGAAGATATATCCCTCATTCAGAATGAAAATTTGTTTTTAGATAGCTAGGTTAGTCAAAATTCTTCACTAGTTAATTTTTGTGGATAAATATGAATTACATGCGCATGCTGCGCTTATAGCAAGTTTAGGATATTGGAATATTATACATTTTATGACTCATTGTTGTAACTCATTGTTGTAACAAAAAGAATCTTTTGGTTGAGACGCGATGAGAGTTCTATTTAATTTATTGTTATTAAAAAAAAGAAGTACTATTAAAAACTAATGTCTATATAAATGGTGTCATTGTACATAATAGATGTAAGAATCTAGCAATACGTGAAATTATTGTCACTTAATGAATTTAAAGTGTTACAGTATATTTAAAGTATGTGAACATAAAATACATGTCACTTTGAAGAAACATTGAAATTTGGAAAAGATTTGGGGACCCAAAAATTGATAATTATTTTGTTTATTAAAGTAATAATTTGATGAAATATAAATTATTAATGATTTGTTGCAAAAAAATATTTTCATTCAAGGCTTATCGTATATACATATAATATGGGCATATACATATATAGAACTTGTTTCTACATAATCCGATATACATAAGAAAACTTTCTTTGAAAAAGAAAAATTTTTCATTTTTCTGTCTTCATTTAAAAGAATATACTCATATTTCGGAGAGAATTAATTATATTGTGTGAAAAGAAAATAGATAAAAGATGTTATACATGCATATATATATATATATATATACATATA